TTATATCTCATAGATTGGGCATTTAATTATGCAAGCAGCTGGCAGAAGCAACCTGAAAAACGTTACCCTGGAACTTGGTGGCAAGAGTCCCAACGTGGTGTTTGCTGATTCCGATATCGACAGCGCTGTGGAAATGAGCCACTTTGCTCTGTTCTTCAACCAGGGTCAGTGTTGCTGCGCTGGTAGCCGTTGTTTTGTGGAGGAGCCGATTTACGATGAGTTTGTGCAAAGAAGCGTGGAAAGGGCCAAAAGCCGTGTGGTTGGCAACCCTTTTGATCTGAATACAGAACAAGGACCACAGGTAAATATAATTGCAGGAAAAATGAGGGAGCTTTGGTCATCATCCCCTTCGTCGTTCTTGATAGCATGCAGTAGGGTGGCTTTGCTTAGTAATGTGTTAATCGACCCTTGTATGAAAGGATTGGGTTTCTCTGAACAAAACGCGGGCAATAATGGTGGGGAAGGGTGTGCTGTATGGTAAGAGAGGGTTGGCATTCTCGCGGTAAGTGCTCTTTAATTTCTTAAACTTTACCATGTATGATGCCGTCCCCTGCCTTCGGCTGAGATAGTCGTTTTCTCTATGGCCATTCCTTATTTATAACCTTGCAATTCATTATTATCACTATTGCTACTGCCCAATTGAAAATCTGCGCGGTTCACTGGAGGTAGAACAAAGATAAACTATCCACATTCCTGGCTAATCCATCCCGAAGTAGCCGACATCCCGTAGGTTCACTTATCGAATCCCGCTCCTGCTTTTCTTGCTACGCTCTAGGTAATATTGAAAAACGTCTGGTGTACACAACAATTCCAAGATTGCTACTCTCTATCTTTTCCCAAAGATTGACCAGGAGCAGTTTTGCAAGGTCATGTCCCTGATAGAAAGTGGAAACAAGGAAGGTGCCAACCTAGTGTTTGGAGGAGAAAGGCATGGTGACAAGGGCTACTTTGTGCAGCCGACCGTTTTCACTGATGTCCAAGATGACATGAGAATTGCCAAGGAAGAGGTGTGCGAACTGTTTTAATTGGTAGCTAAGGGAATTAGCTGGTAACAGAAGCTATTGGCTAACTGCCGACTATTATTCTGTTTTGTGTTAGATTTTTGGACCCGTTATGCAGATCATGAAGTTTAAGGACATGAACGAACTGATCGAACGAGCTAATAATACCATTTATGGTTTGGCTGCCTCTGTGTTTACCAAGGACCTTGACAAGATGAATACCATTGCCCACAGCATCCGTGCTGGCACTGTTTGGTGAGTATCAGAATTTAGTAGCGACTTACTCCATTACTCTAAAGAAATGAACTCTCTGCATTTCCACGTAGGAATGCAGCGATTCGGATGGTCCATGTTCTATAGTGTTTTGTAGGATCGCATTTTGTGTCCTTTGGTGCTGGAACACGTCAATACTTCTCGCCATCCAGTATATTACATTTTTATCTTCGAATTGTTTTGCGGGGGGAGGGGGTGGTGCGGTGGTAGTAGCGATGCTCTTGGTCGCTTCATCGTATGAAAAATGGGAGAAGTTTGCGGTGGAAAATTCTGTTAGCCCACAAGAATTTACCTTTTTAACCCCACTCAGGGCATAGTTTCCTCACCGGTGAGGCCAGGACCGCTTCGCAAGGGGCTGTTATTATGACACGTAGCGTTACTTTCGGCTTATCATTTAACTCTTGTCTTGGGCAATAATAAGCTGTTTGTTTCTTTTGGTCATCAAGCGACTTTAGCGTTTAGGCAACCAGTTATGTATGAGCTCACTAAATTGTAATATTGTTGCTGAGAAACCAGTAGAGTATAAACAAGATGAGTTTCCTGTGTTTCTCTCCTGTGTGAGGGTCAACTGCTACGATGTTCTGGATGTCCAAGCGCCATTTGGTGGCTTCAAAATGTCTGGATCAGGAAGGGAACTGTGAGTTTTCGTTATAGATACTTCTGACTCCCGCAGCTTTGAGCAATGTTTTGAAAGTACCCCGCCTGCAAATAACAACATAGGCTCACAGAAATTTAAAAATAAGTAAATAAAATTAAAATCCTTATTTGTCTTGATAGACCAATCAGCTGAACCCAGAGGGAACAACTGGTGTAAACTGGTGATCAGGAACTTGTAATCTGTTTACTTATTTATTTTTCATTACATTTCAGGGGAGAGTACGGTCTGGAGCAGTATTCGGAGGTGAAAGCGGTAGGTGGCAAGTTAAACAAATTGTGCTGTCATTTTTATGCTAAAGATCCATGGGTGGTGTTTTTCTTAAGGGCCTGACATTCACCCTTCCCTCTTGAAAATCCTTCGTTATTCCATCTCCGATAAAACAATAAGCACCAATTAAGTGTAGGAGTGATGGAAAATTTTACCCTTCTTCCATGCTTGAACTTGCTGTTGAATAACTTGTTGTCGCCTTGTTTCGACAGATAACGATCAAGCTCCCGCAGAAGAATTCTTGAACAGCTGAGTAATGATTTGAATGCTTTGAGCTTTGCAATGTCTTTGAAACCAATCAGCTCGCGATATATTAGTAAGGCGGTTTTCACAAGTAGTCTAATGTGTCGTTAGTTATCAAACCCATAGCATAGCGCGAAAATTTTTTGTACCGTAATCTTAAGGACTAGCAAAATACTTTTCACTTTATACGTTTTACTTCTTCAGGTGTGGTTTGCGTTGCGTGGAAAGTTTGTTGGTCAAAACCGTTTTTGTAGGTTAAGCGTTAAATCATATTTAATTCGGCTGAACGATCTACATCTAACTAAACGACAAATGCATTCATATAATTTCTCAGTTACTGTACGTAGTTCACGTAGTCCAAGCTAAAATCTCTTTTTGTAATCGCAAAGATAAATTGTGACTCAATAAAAGAAACCTTTTCCTCATGTTGTTACGCCATGATCTTTAAATCAATATATATCCCCCGTCTCTTTGATTCTCGCGTTAAGGTTTCTTGCCTAGTGATGGAAAAGAACTGAAATTTTTTCTATGGATTCTCCTTTACTAAGAACCACGTCAGGCGAACCTCCAGATGACGAGAAATGTTAAATTTGATTACTGCATTAATACTGATAGTGACGGCGGTGTTATCTTTAGTTTCATAAATCATCCGGAGCTAACCGTCAAATGTTAACTGTCCACACCCTAACATCAGTATGCATATTCTCCATACTTTTCTCTATACATTTCCCAAGGTGCTGACAAGGAGAATTTGTCAGACAGTCGAGAGCTTCTTCAGTTGTTGATCATTTCCTTTATTCTTGTGACCTTACTGTGTGATTCTGGGATGAAAATTAAGGAGAAATGACACGCCAATCACTAGCAGGGGGCCAAAGGGTTCATTTTGAAGCTCAAAGATGCTGTCAACTTGGCTTTTGCAATTTTTTTTTTTTTTTACATGTAAGCTGGTCACGCATGGAGGGGTTGTAAAACGCGAAAATAAAGGTAACGAATGGTTGAAGTGTCTAAGGGAATCCACTAGGCTGAAAAGAGAAAACACAACAACGTGTCACCATTTTGCGACAATGCCCTGCCATCCCGCCGCATAAGTATGGATTGGCACAACTGTTTCTGACGCCAAGTTCAAAGTTTAAAATTGTTTTTTTTCTTTTTACAAAAATGGCAACAATAGAACCCGGGGTAAAATGAGGGCCAAAGCAGTCAACCGCGAAACAAAGAAAACGTTCGTTGTATTTTGGTGATCTTAATTTACATGACTATCACAATAAATATGACCATTTCTCAATCGTTATGTCCCAATTCCAGAGGGAAATAGGTTTCTTTCATTTTTTCAAGAACATTCTCTGACGATATATTACGCAAGCAATACTCCTCGATTCAAACAGGAAATGTTCTGAAAACGAATTTGGATCTCTTAAAAAAACTCAGCGATCCTTTATTGTTATCGAGCTATTATTAAGATGTTCTATTTCGGTTTACACGATTTCCGTGTATTCAACCGCCAACAACTTCTTACGTGCAAATTTCTGCTTTGATGAATTCCTTTGGGAAAAACCAAATCAAAATATGCCAATTGCAAAAGTATTGACTAGATTTAGTCGAATTATCTTTGCGGCTAAAAATGAGTGATACAGCGCTGGCGTGTCTTTCTGTCCAATCTCATCTTTGCCTGATCTGATCGTAAAGGGAAAAATATCTTGCCTCGAGGATAGTATATCCTTCGACAACGAAATTCAACCAGGATGGATTCATTTCAACTCGAACAAGGTTACTTTACTATCAAACAATGAAATGTTCGAACCCATTCTTCAATTGCCACATGTCTTCCGCCCTGAAGAGCACACCTTCAAAATAAATTCTGAAGGTGATTTGGAGGATTTGATGGCGTTGTTTAAGAAACCACTTATCATGTGCGTTACCAGGAGACAAGATGATGATCAACGGCTTCGACACTGACTTCGTGGTCGGTTTCGACCCTTCGGATCCCAAAGTTGAGAGAGAATTTTCGAGAATAACCGAATATGTTGCAAAGCTTCTTCAAAAAAGAAAGAAATTTCACATTACGATTGATTTATCCGAGAAGCTTGACGAAATATCACCACTTGATTTCAAGAACCACGTCATATGGCTGAATTGTCTTTTCCATGTCACAAATTATCATGCACCTCATCCCATTTTGACCCTGGACATCTTCTTTCTTTGGTGCATTCTTCTGCCGTGTTGTCTCGCCGTTGCATTGCCTTACAGACTCTACAGAAAGCTGCGCTGTATTGACAGGAAAATGGACTTTAATATTCAGTTTTTCTTGGAATCGACAGAGTCCGTGCCTTTAGCTCTTTATTTCTTTTCTGGTCGCCCGCCGAATCCTGGTCGTTACCGGACTGAGAGCCACAAATACCATTTGCGAGCTTGCCCGGGGACAAAACTTAAGTCATTTCTCTATTTGATGAACTGCTAGCACGGGCTCAGTATGATTTCTCTGACGTTCGCCTTCCCCATCCGTAGATCGAGACAATTTTTTTTTTTTGCAATATCGCTGTCAAATTGCCATTTCGAGAAACGTTTGAATTTGTGATTAAAACTTTATTCATCATTTGGAACGTTATCATCATCAACAACATCATAATCAACATAATCAAAATTATGTACTGTAAAAACTTCAAAGAAAGAAACGAGTAAATTTTTTCTTCTTCAGTTTCCTTCCAAATTTAATTTTTTTTACAATCAACTGCATAGCGGCACCAGCAAGAGCTTACAGTAAAAGAAAACTGAATAATTACAATGGAAATCATAAGTTCCTAACTACAGGAAATGCTTGCACACTTTAGGGTATACATGCATGTTGAAAATAAAATATTTATCCTATAAATTTTTTTCCGGGACAATGATATCAAGTGCTTGATGTTTTTATAACTTGCTCATTTTCAGGCCCTTCTGAGAAGGAGATTGGTTCTAGTTTTTGAACTCACTCTCTTTAGCGCCGCGGTGGCCGTGGCCAGTAAAATTTTCTAGAGCTACGTTTATTTATCTGTCGTTACTTACTTATTTATTTATTTTCTCTTTTTTCTGGGGGGAGGAAGGGTGAGGAGGAAGGGAGGGGACACTCGTTTTCAGTGTGGGCAGCGCCTCTTAGAGTACATCATTTAATTTTTGAAAAGCTAAGAACGAATATACGAGGCAAGACAGACATGTTCAAATGTCTGTCTATTGTAATGATGAAAATAGCCTTTAGTGGCATGGTTTTCTTTATGTTTGCAACATTTTGATTTCGTCGTCCTCTTCGATAATACACTGCAAGAGCTGCTTCCTCGGATATCCTTGACGATACTGTCACACGAAAATGAAAAGTTACGTACCCCGTGTGGTTTTGGACGATGCTTTACTCTATTCGTATTTTAGGGCCCTTTAACGAGGAGCCGGGGGACCCCAGGTAGGCGGGGTAACCCGCCTGTCCATATAAAAAGGGATTAGGTGCATGATGGGTATAATCATGAGGAAAAAAGCTTTGTAAAATTACTGACGAGAGAATCGAGATGATTGCTAAGTCGGTATGATCTCAAGTAACTTGTTCTGTTGTCCTAACGACTATTTCTTTTTTTTTTTAAACAGCCAACCGTATTCCCAAGGCCTCTGTAACAAGAAATTAGAAAAATGACTAAAATAAAACTCAATGAAAGAGCAGAAAAAAAGAACTTCCCACACAATATTCTTCTCTGCCGTATGCGCTTTGAAGTTGCATCATTTCTTGAAAAGATCATCGATTTCAGCAAAACAATAAGTTATGTTACTTTGTGTGGGGTCGGCTGCAGAAAAGCTAACCACACCTAATCATTTTTTCAATAATACTGAATTTCATTCTATAAATATCCTAATTCGTATTGTTTTTTATGTGAATAAAATCAGGTGATGCCAAGTCATTCACGAATCGTTTGTTGTGGGGTTTTCAGGCAAAGAACTTTGATTAGGCCAAGAAAACTAGCTAACCGCCAAACGCAAAAGTAACATTTCTGTCTTGCATTCATCGCAGAAATGCTGGCCTCAACTGTTTAGGTTCGTTGCCTGCAGTACGTGGTAATCGCTGTTATAGTCACTGAACTAACTTTTTAGTAGTCATAGTCTTTACAGGTATTGTTTTGAAAAGTGTAAGGTCAACCTTGACTATGCTATTTTCAAGTGGCCGTTGGCCGTAATCGTTATTCTCACGTGCACAGTATAAGAATCACATGTCAAGCGAAACAAGCGAAACCGAGTCAAGCACCCGGTTGCCAAATGGGTAAACTGGCCGTACATATTTTCTCACGTGTCCAACGGTTGAAAAGTGTAAGGTCAACCTTGACTATGCTATTTTCAAGTGGCCGTTGGCCGTAATCGTTATTCTCACGTGCACAGTATAAGAATCACGTGTCAAGCGAAACAAGCGAAACCGAGTCAAGCACCCGGTTGCCAAATGGGTAAACTGGCCGTACATATTTTCTCACGTGTCCAACGGTTACCTGGCGTAGTGGTCACGAAACGGGGATGAATTTTAGATGACTTTAAAACGTCCAGGAGGTAAATGATCTGACTGAAACCGCTATCGGCTGACTGGCAACAGATCAAGGACACAAACCAAACGTAAAATGAATAAGCGGAATCTTTCACCCATGCAAATTTTAATTGATTTCTAAAACGTGATTGAACGAAAAACTATTTTTTAATTTACTGACGGTAAATTAAAAAAAGGTTGCCGAATTTTGGGTTCAAATCGGTACAGAAACCGACAACTCGGGCTGCTTTCAGTGGCTATGCTAAAAGATCTTTTATCTATTGTCCTCATAATACTTCCGATAAAGGCTTTCATTTACAAGCCATTAGTAATCGGCGTCGTTTTAGAAGACTTTAGCAAACAATACAAAAATCACACGTACCAAGACTACGCGTGATTAGCTCTGAAGCCGTTATAAGAACCCTTTTGCTCTGCCCTGCTGCATTAGTTCCTGAAGACCACGACTTTAAAAAGAATGGAGAGCCTTTCCACAGAAGTTCTAATGTTTCCCATAACATCATTGCCATTCATCTTGAACAACAGACCAGAGCTACAAGAAGGCTTTCTGCTCGATTTCGAAATCAGACCTGGCTGGATTGTATACAATCCAAACGTGGTAACTGTGCTTTCCTGCAACCAAATGTTTCAACCGGTATACGAATTAGAGCCAATTTGGAATTCAGACAAACAGCTATTTAAAATCAAAAGTACTGACAATCTGGAAGACTTAAGGGTCATGTTGAGCAAGCCGATAGTGTTCTGTGCCACCCGAAGACAAGAATGTGAGGCAATGATCAACGGTTTTGATACGGACTTTGTGATACTGCTAGATCCTAAACGTCCAGAAGTTGCAGTGCAGATTAAAAAAGTGTTTGATCGCGTCGAGGAGCACCTAAAGTCTGGACAAAAATTCTGTCTACAAATCCACTTTTCTGACCTTTTAGAAAAAGCAACTCTGGATGAGTTCAAAAGCTTCGTTTACTGGTATAACGGTGAGTTTTACATTACTAACCACTGCAAACCAAACCAGTTCTTGTTAACAAATCACTGGCTCTTTTGGTGTGCCGTGTTTCCAGTATTTCTTATGGGTTCAATTCCTTATCGCATCGCAAGAAAAGCTTGTGTTTATGATGAAGAGATAACGTTGCAAATGAGATCGAAGTTGACGTTTTGTCCAGAAACTGTTCTTGTGCTGCATTTTTATTGTGTGGATAAACCATTGCCCGGACGTTACCTAAGAAACGAGAAATTGTTTGTGGAGCGTGAATGTTCTCCCACTGAGCTTGAACGTTTAGTTTGTTTTAAAGCTAAAGAACCCAGGAAGCAAAAACGTTGTAGTTTTCGTATGAAACGGATTAAGTACAGACTAATCAGTTTATTGAACGTGGCAGGAAAGAATAAAAATAAATGAATTATACCGTTCTCAGACTTGAAAAGGTATACACAGCTTTAGAACAAGTGTCGTTGTTCCGACCGCAAGAATTCTGCATAGTTTGATGAGAAGAAATCAAATAGAAATTTCTTCACAGAATGATAACTTTTAAGATAGATAACGCAGTCCTGCAAATAAACGTGCACTTTTAAACATTTTACTTGTTTAGTAGACTGAAATCATTTAATCTCCATAAAGAATAGACAACCACAAGAGATATTTTAGCGCATTTTGATACGCGCATCCACATGAAAGAAACAAAGGCCCGCTTGATATAATTGAGGCACCTGAAATGGTTTCTTAAAACGAAGTGCCCCGCAAATTATAGCAAACTCACTCTATACCAGATTGACGTTTGTAAGTTAAAGATCTCTTGCGAAAGAAAGCATCTAAACATTGATTTATGAGCTAAGTTTTTCGGCCCTAATCCACAGTCATGCATTAGTTTCAGCTTGCGTGCTTTGCGTGTTCGCCTTCAATGGTATTGAACGACGGTACATTGCACGCGGGCAAGATTCCAAGCTTTAATGGTGTTTGAAAATGTGAGGAAACCCTTCAGAGGAGACAGAGGTGTCAATGAAAGCGTATGAAAGCGCAAGAAAATTTGCATACCACACAAATCTTCTCCCACCTAAACTCACACGTTCAGCTTTGTTTCTTTGTACGTTAATTTACTTTTATTCAATTGTGGATGTAAACCATAGCTATTTCTAGATGATTCTCTGAGTGATACGAATCCAACTAACAAATTTCAACTAATTTTTTCAAATTAAATGTTTTCGAATGAGGAATGTTTTAGAATATGTTCACAATTTTGATGTTTTCCGGGTATTGCACCAGGAGACGTTGAATATGCTGGAATTTAACAGGGACCTTCAACACCTTGTACAGACTTACTAAAAACACATGTTATGGGGCGAAATGGATTATTTTGAGGTAAAAGGATACTCTCCAAAATAATTTTGCCGAAGATACATGCTAATTAAATCCTAAATCGAGGATGTTAGTCTTGGTGTAGTGTAGCGAGCTCATTTGAAGCGCTTAGGCGCCCACGGCCTTTGGTATCCCCAATGGACTGCCAGCCCGAACATGCATGAAAAATGTCATAAAAGCTGCCAGGGGAAATAAAAGATCGAAAGAGGGTACTGCTTAGAACCATTGTTGTCAAAAAAATCCCTCATTGAATTCAAACCTTAGATCTTTGGCACCTTTGATTGTAAAAACAACGATAATGGTCATGAACAGATCTTAGGACGTGGGTCACAGGTCTCACTGCTCTTAAACCTTTCCCCACCAAAAGTATTTGACTCACGTGTCACAGGATCAACAAACTCCTTGTCACGTGAGCCGCAAGAGTGGTGTTCAGGGATGACAGTAAGGTGGAAGAAGAGGAAAGGAGATTTATACCGGGTGGCTTACTTCATCAAAACTTCTCTCCTTTTAGCACTCTGCTCAACTACTCCGATATTTAAGACTGCCAAAATTTCCAGTAGTATTAGTTGTATCTTAAATAATTTTACATGCTAGCAAATAGGCTTTTATCTTTTTTATAAGTGAAACGATGTGTAGTTTCATAGGTTACGCTGTGCGCCCTTTGAAACTTTCTTTTCCTGGCACGCTGAAGTTCAATAAAATGCGTCATAATAATAAAGTACACTAAGCTAGCGTTGTCAGCCATGCTGTAAAGTTAGAGTTTTACATCGTCATTCTCATCTTCCGAGTCTTCAGCCTCTGAATCCTGCACCTGATAATAATCTTTTGACTCGTCCACTTGGTTAAAATCAAAGTATTCAACTTCTTGATGCATCAGTTCTTCCAGTCTTCCAACCATCTCTTGAAAACTAGGTCGTTCGTCTTGGTTTTGCTTCCAACAATCCAAAGTCAAAGAGTAACTGAGGTAAAAAAGAAGAAAAAAAGAAATAAAAACGAATAACTCTTATCAAAATGTCTAATGATGCCCAAACCTCAGCACTCCATAATTTTCCTCCAAGTCACCAGATTTAGGAGATCAGGAAACTTAACCTGCTTAATGGCGGTAGTTTCTGTTTTGAATCGCGAGATTCAACGCGCCGAATATTCGGTCACCATATTGGACGGGTGGAAGATCTGGGACGAGTGACAAAGCGAGTGGGGAGAGGGGAGGGGGTGAAACAAATCTTCCACCCTTCCAATATGGCGACCGAATATTTACCACGCTGAATCTCGCGCTTGAGAGCCCAAACTATTGCTTGAAAGCAGGCTAGATGGAATTGAACTGAAACCAAATCCTAAATGTAAAATAAAGACTATGCAGCGTAAGAGTATTGGGTGATTAGCTTCCACAGCAGGTTTATAATATGAGAGGAATTTTGACACCTGATTTAATTCACCAGGAAATGAATTGATCTCATTAACAATCAACCTACACTTGATCTGAGCAGAAATCAGGTTTTTCCATGCGGTAACCTGTCTTCAAGCGTCTCATGAGCTCTCTGTTGGTTAGCAGGGGATATGGAGAACCTCCTAGACGTAAAATGATACAGATTAAGAGTTAATGAACAATTAATTACAGCGTTATGGAAAGTTGTTATCCGTGGATATCCTGACTTTGAAATATCCCAGTAGAACGCAAATTTTAAAAGATACGGGCTTTGAAAGCCGTTTAAGAAAAAATGATAGATATTTAAAGATTGGTAGATGGAAAAATATTAAAAAGTTGAAAATTTTTCATCTGAGGAATCTCCGGTTAACTCATTTTGTTGAATTATGATATCCCCGGCATAATGGCGCAAAATTGAAAAAGATCGGATTCTGACTTTACGAGATCTCTGTCATGTAATCTGGGTGTTTTGATTTTTATTGTCATCTAAAGTTAGATTACCGACAGTTGCAATTTCCCACATGACTACTCCGTACGACCAACTGTAAAAGTAAAGAAAATGAATAAATCTATGAAGTTAGATCAAATTTATGAGTTAGAGGATAACCATGTAATATAATTCATTAAACGCTTTGCGCCAAATTTCGCGCTCGCCCGGAGCTTGTCTCCGTTCGCCTGTAAAACGCAAAAAATGCACCTGTGGTGCAGGTTATATCAATTGCAGCGTTAGAGAATCAATCATTTACCTCTGGCTCCCTTAAGCGGCCACAGAAGAAAGAAAATCCCTGACACATCTTAGTTATAATTACCATCATCATCATCATCATTATTATTATTATTTTTATGATGATGATGATGATTATTATTATTATTACTATTACTATGACTAAAACAATTATCATTATTATCTTAGTCTTCATCATCAACTGCTCTCATTGGTTTGTTGTCGCTATCATTACATTACCTCTGGTTTTGTTAAGCAGCTGCAAAAGGATTCCAGTTACTTACACATCACTTTTCGACGTAAATATCTGCTTGTAAAGTGACTCAGGCGCCATCCATTTGACTGGCAGCTTTGAGTGCTTTTTCACCTCATACAGTTCGTGATACATTTCTCGCATTAGACCAAAATCGGCGATCTTGAGCCGTTTACCGTGTCCAACCAGAATGTTTCGTGCCGCTAGATCTCTATGGACGAGCCCCTTTCCGGAGAGGTAGGCCTAACCAATGAGATAACAAAAATAATTTGTTGATTGCTCGGAGGGGAGGAGACTCTTCTTGGAAAAGGGCATGAAATTGAGAAACGTATTTGGACAATGTTTCCTATGCAGAATTTCCACAACCATACTGAGGTTCGATAATCTTTCTCATCGAGGGGGTTTGTCTGCCGGATTCTTAATTTGTTCTTAGAATTACTGATTAGTACCCAAATGAAGTGTCAAGGCTAAATTATTAAACGCAAAGAGCATGGGACTAGAACTTTAGTCTCGGGACATCAGCTGTATAAACATTTTTACCTACCATGCCTTTTGCGATCTGCCAAGCTAGGGAAAGGAGATCAGCTGGGACAAATGACTCGCAATCATCACTGCACTCCTCGTCTTTCTTCTCCGTCAAAACGTCCGCCCCTGGAAGCTCAGTGAAGGAAACCACCTGAGGAGTTTCAGCTTCAGTAGGTTGTAATGTGTCATCAGGAGATGGGACAGAGTTGCATGCCTCCAGTTTGTTCTCGTCACTTACATCACTGACCTGATCGAAGAAGAGGGTTCTTAAAATTTAGATTAGGGACCATTATAACGGAACACAATATTTTAAGTACTTGAAATGTCTTTATTTCGCCTGAGTACCTCTCAAATCCTTCAACTCTCAAAATTACGACTAAATTACAAAGAAGTAACCTTTGATTATCCTCAAGGACGCATCCGTCAAAAATAAAAAACACAGTATGTTTAAATCTGCTTTAATATTTCTATCCTTATCTTTTTGGAATTTTAGTCTATCTCTAGAACTTTAGTGTTTTTTCCGTTCTCCTCTGTCGGAGGACGCTTATTCTTTAATTCTTTTAAGCTGACGGTTGCCCTAAATAATTCTCATCGCCTATACCGTCATCTTCCTTTGTTAAACAGATAAATGCATGATTTGCAGTTCGGTATCATTATGGGGAAATCCATTACAAGCCTCCTCAGTCCCTTACGAATCAATAGCTGGTTCCAAGTGTATTTCTGTTTTTCATATTTAGTATACCTCTTCTGCAGCTGATCTGAGATTCCTGCTTTCGGCGTAAAAACTAGTTCCTCCAGGCTCACTGATAGTGGAACTGTTAATCTGTAAGAAGGAGATGTAGTAATGATTTATCTCCATTTACATCTTTTTTGCTTCCTTTTCCTCTTATTTTGGCCAAATGTGTGACGGAAAGGAATAAAATCGAAAAGTTCAGCCTAGTTTCTGCGTCGGACAAAAGTTCCGAATTATGCTCACTGCCATAAGTGGATTCATTTTCTGAGCTACTAAGTACTTGTCAGCGATGATATTTTGTAGTTTTCAACTTTCGAAAAAATCAGAGAACATCTTGTGTGCAGAGATAAAAGAGAAGGGGTGGGAAGAGTTGTTGTATGTTATGGCAGGGAAAAATAACATAAAGGAGATGCAGACAATAACTAGCTTATTAGCGAATGGTATTCGTGTTGTTGTTGTTGTTTTTTTCTTTCTCAGACTTACTTGAACTCTTTTTCTTCTCAACCATTGAAGCAAGTCTCCATGGGCTACATACTCGATCATCAGAAGGAAAGGTTTAGTTGTGGTCCAACAGCCGAGGAAACTCAACACATTCTGGTGTTTTCCCACTTGCTTCATAAGCTCAATCTCTTCTAAAAACTCTCTTCGTTGTTCCTCGTTTGCGTTTTCTTTTTGAATGAGCAAACGAGGGTTCATTAAATTAGAAAAATAATTTTAGAGGTTTTATGGTAATGATCAAGTATAGGGATTTTCTTTCTACAATCGCACCGTGAATTATACCAAAGGTCTGCGTTAAGCATAAGGAAAAACCAAAGCATGCAAACAATTAACATTTATAACACAACTCCATAGATAACTCATACCATGTAGTTCCTTCACTGCTACAGTCGTTGAGTGCCTGATTCGTCCACCATATAATTCATCGCTTGCAAAAAAAATCCAAACTATTCTTAAGTCTAGCTTTGTGAACTTTTCCAAAAGCTCCTTCACCCAGTGCCTCGAGAAATTCTTTTCTGATTGGATGGATTTCGCACAACTCCAAAATCTGAATATCTTCGGCAGTTCTTCATGAAAAAGAAAGCAATTTTGTGGAAAGACATGTTATAGTAAAGATAAAACTGATTACTAACTAGCTCCTCGTATGGCGCGTTCGGCTGTGTCCGTAGCAGTTAAGGAATACTTGGAGCTCAGGAGTTATTTCATTGAATCTGTTGCACAATAACGTTCTCAGTGTATGATTGACACTTCCCACTATGGAAATGCCATGTACTTCAATGATCGCTTGTTGAATGTGAGTGAATCTTTACTGAAAAAGGAAGCCTGAAAATATATTTTTGCAAAACGTCGCATTTCTTAGAAAAACTTCATTGTTTCCAATTTTGATCATTATGTTTCACTTAGCGATGTATTTGAAAAGCAATAACGTGTACCTTTTTGAACGTTTTAGTGACCCGATTCTTATGGAAATGCCAAACACCAATGAACAGCAGAAGGACGACCAAACACCCCAAACAGGCCATCAGTGCTCTTACAAGATTATTGGTCAGCAGTCAGGAATCTACAAGGTAAATAAACTCGATTATGACCATTAAAGCATTCGTAAACTTTTCCGTTAAGATGTACATCTCTTTTCCTCTCTCATTCTTAATTCATTACATAACTTATCCTATCTGCAGTGAAGACCAAGAGAATTTCGCTCGTTTCATGTCCAGACCTGATGGGAATTGTGCCGTAATCTTCTGTTCAAACTCAGACTGTACACCTATTGTTGCCGACTGCCTCTTAGAATTGTCACTCCCTCCTAGCTCATTCCAAGCTCTGACCTGAAACTCATAAGTCATGGTGCAATTTAGCATAATGGTAACTTGATCGACTGTAACGTCGGTGATATTTATCACAGTCCACTCGATGGCATCAGGAGGTGCGCCTATACGTCTGTAGCTGATTGTCTGGAAAAGTGTTGGGCAATCTTTTGATATAGGCGAGGTCCACTTTAGGGTCACATTA